CCCCAAGTCCACTTGACTATGCAGCCTTCATTCTTGCACTTTTCTCCCTGCCCCCCCCCCATTCACTCTTCTCCTTGAAAAGTAAAAGAAAAACTCTTTCCTGTTATATAAGCACTCCCCTCAAGTCCACTATGCATGCAGTCAGTCTTCATTCTGGACTTCTGTAATGACAATAATACCCAAACATACATCCCTTTTAAACAGTTTTCTCTCTCATCTATTTCAATGCAGTATACATTATTCCTCCCCTCCTTTTCTGTCTTCCCTCAACCCTATTGTCAGTTCCATTTTACAACAGTGGCCCTATGCAATATTTGTCCTTTTGTAACGGAGATATTTCACTCAGCATAATGTCCTCCAGGCTCACCCATTTTGAATAATATTACATGAGTTCCTTGTTTTTCAATGCTGCATAGTATTCCATTGTGTGAATATACCACAGGTTCTCTATCCATTTGTTTGTTGATGGACATTTAGGTTGTTTCCAACTCTTTGCTATTGTTAACAAAGTCACAGTAAACGTAGATGTGCATATATCTGCTTGGGTCACAGTTATGGATTCTTTAGGGTAAATTTCCAGTAGTGGAATTGCTGGATTGAATGGTATTTCTATTTGCAACTTTTTTGAGAAAGTACCATACAGCCTTCCAGAGTGGCTGTACCATTTTACACTCCCACCAACAGTGAATAAGGGTTCCAGTTTCTCCACAACCTCATCAACATTTGATGCATGCTATTGTGTTAAATTTTACTATTCTTACTGGGGTGAGATGGTGTCTCATAGTTGTTTTGACTTGCATCTCTCTTAGTGCTAGGGATTTTGAACATTTCTTCATATGTTTGCTTGCTATCTGAAAGTCTTCTTTGGTAAAGTGTCTGTTCATATTCTGTGCCCATTTTTCAAATGGGTTATTTACCTTTATCTTGTGGTGCTTGAGTATTTTAGAAATTCTAGATATAAGTCCCTTATTAAGTATGTCATTACCAAATTTTTTTTTCCAGTCTGTGGCTTCCCTTTTTACCCTGTTGGAGGAATTTTTGGATGTGCATAGGGATTTGATTCTTAGAAGGTCCCATTCATCTATTTAATCCTCCTCTCTTGGTTGTAGATTTTCCAGGATGCTTGGAAGAACGTTTATGTTGTGAATTAGGACTTCTAGAGTTCTTCCAATATCTGGTTATTATTTTAATAAACCAAATTTATATACTGTAAACTAGCAGAATGAGGAAAGCATAGTTTATAAAAAAAGATAGTATGTTCAGTATGATAGTCAGTGAAAATGTGGGAAACACAGAATGAGATAAATTGATGCAACAGCCTCAACAATTGATCAAAACAGTATCAAAATTTATGGAGATGGTGAAGATTTGGGCACTGGTTTTTTTTCTGTTACATAAGGACACCATGTGTCAGAGCCCACTTGATGGCAATGAACAATTTCCTACTAATATTCATTCTTTCATACAGTATTTATTACACACCTACAATGTGCAAAGCAATACAGAAAACTGTAATTCTCATCTTTGGACCAATAATCAACATTACGATAAAGGGAGAAAAGAAAGAAGTCGTCAAGAATTTCATTTTACTTGAATTGACAACCAATAACCATGGAAGCAACAGTCAAGAAATCAAATAATTCACTGGGTGAATCTACTGCCAAAGACTTCTTTAAAATTCGAAGGGCAAAGATATCAGTATAAACACTAAGGTCTGCCTGATCCACACTATGGTGGTTTCAATTATTCCATATGCATGTGAAAGCTGGATAATAGAAAAGGAAGACCAAAGAATAATTCATGTCTTTGAATTGTGGTGTTGGCAAAGAATACTGAATGTATTATGGACTGCTAGAAGAATGAACAAGTATCTTGGAAGAAATGCAACCAAAATGCTCCACTGTAAAAGGACATCAATGTTTGGCAAAACAGATGATTAGTAAAGGAGAGAAGACCCTCAATGAGATGGGCTGTTGCAGTGACTCCGACAATAGAGCACAGGCATGGCACAGGATGGGGCAGGGTTTCTTGCTGTTGTACATATGGTTGCTGTAAGCAGGAGCTAACTAATCAGCATCTAACAACAACAATCATGTGCAATACAACATGCTGAATGGTTAGTGATGCTAGAGAAAACAAGAACTATTTTCTCACATTTATCAATTAGAGTAAGCTATTATACTTAGAAGTAAATATAGCTACCACAACCTGGCTAACTGTTGACACTTAACAACAAACTTCATTTAAATAAGCTGTAAGACATTAAAAGAGTAGTAAAGTGTCAGCCAAAGATCCTCTACAGAAATTGTCCAGATAAGTCTCCATCTCTATAACTTATAACTTCATAAGCTCTCCAATGTCAGTAGTTATTAATAACATTCTACTTACATGTCTTCAGAATCAGAAGGCCCTTCTTTAATGTGTTCATCTTCAGTTTCTTCTATTTCAAGATTGTCTTGTCGCACATCTCCAACAATGGGAACATCTATCAGTGTTCCAAACAGCTTGGAAAGATCTGGAAGTGAACATGTTCTCAACATCTAAAAGATAAAATATAGATTTCTTATTATAAGCAATGATTTGAAAATATAAACAAAAAGGAAAATTATACTTAGTGATATTTTACCTTTTATAAGTAAAAATCATATATTTAGAGCTAGAAGCTTGAGAAGTGAACTACCCAGTGTTAGCACCTAATACAGAATACCAGAGGTCAATATTTTTGTCACACAAAAAATTAACTTTTGAGTTAGTTATATACTTGATTTAAAACACAGATATTCATTTAAGTGACCTTTAAAAGGTGAGATTTATGAGAGGTGCTTGAGGAAACACATGGGATGAAATTTAAAATCTGTCAGGAACTGCTGTTGTCACTTTGATTCTAGAGCATCGTGATCCTACGGATAATAGAATAAATCACTGCCTGGACCTCCCCTTCCTCACAATCTCTGTTCTGCTTAAGCTCATTATTATAGTCATTCTGCTCATCCTTCTTATTGAGCTCTTTTTTTGCTCACCTTGTATTTTAACAAGCATTGTTGGTACTATAACCCTCCTGATAACAAGTCCAAAGTATATGAGATGCAATGCTGAAAATAATCCATGTCTTTCTTTCATAATATCGCTGTTAAGTGTTCCTCTCATTTACTATAGCCAGCTCTGTTCATATTTCTTGCCCTAATACTGGAATTAAGTTTGAAGGTGATTTAGTATCATCATATGAAATTGGTGGCCCTCTGTATTCCTTAGTCTTACGAGTCGTGAGTCAGTCAACACTGCTTGAATCACATGCCTCAAATCATAACAAAGAGAAGCATAGCTTTTTCCCCACCTGAGTATGGAATTGTCAGAGGAGCTTTTCTACTAGAGGAAAAAGCTGAAAAGACAGGCAAATCGATATCCATGCGGAGGTTTATTTATAGCAGTCGTGTAAGAAGGAATTCAAACCTGAGAAAAAACTGCATGGTTGAGCTGTTGAAATGAGAATTTGTGTTGGATAAGATCAGCGATAAAGGAATAGCTTCTGTCTATCCACCTTTCAATTACTAGAATGTGCTGGGTAAACTAGGATACTTAAAAAAAAATCTATACATTTTAAGTCTCTGGGCTGGGTTTATCTTAAAAGGAATTCTTGAGATTAGAAACATAAATTACAAGGCTTTGATAAGAATCAAACACCAGATGGGAGATTCTGAAAACCCAATGTTTAGCATATTAATGAAAATTTATATACTTGGCCTATTTTATTGGTACAATCTGCTTTTGAGAATAATAAAAAAGGATAGATTTCTGTTATTTGAGCATAATTTATATATTACAGCACTTAGGAGAGAAAATGCTTATGAACTACAAGTTGGTGAAGTTGGCAAAGATACATGGCTTGTTAAAGCACTTCATAATGGTACCGAAAGCATTATTTTGCTAAATATCCCACTCAGCAGAATTTACACTTGACATATCATTTTAATGGCATATTCAAATGTATATATTGATAAAGCAGTAGCATATAAAATAAGCACACAGGAACAGCTGGCCTAGGTAGCTGCTAAACAATACAAATAAGCAGCAATAAAAATGCACTGTAATTGTTGCTGCATGCCATCAAGTGGAACTGACTCATAGCTGACCCTACTGTGGGCTTTGAGACCGTAAATCACACAGGAGTAGACTGCACATCCTTCTCCCATGGCGCAGTTGGTGGATTTGAACCACATACCTTTGGGATTGCAGCATAGCTTTTTACCAGTATGCCATCAGAGCTCCCTATAGATCCACTATATACCGAAATTCAAGGAGCCTTGTACAGCAATTGAGTGCTCTGCTACCAGTAATTTAGGCAGTTCAAACCCACCAGCTGGCTACTTCATGGAATTATACATGGCAGTTAATTTTGATAAACATTATAGTTTTAAAAATTGTGGAAAGTTCTAGTCTGTCCTACAGGAATGCCATGAGTTGGAATCAACTCAAAAACAAGAGGGATATTTCTTTTGTACACCATTTTTTTAGGGTGAGTTAAATTTTAGATGTGATTGCCAAATCTAGTTTACTTCTTTTAGTAATGAAAATAACCTTTTAAATCTAGCACAAAATAATACAACTTGAAACTAATTTTATGTGGTCATTTAACTTAACAATCTGCTTGTCTGGACAAGGTCTACATAGCCACACTAAAATAACTCTCTGTCCTATATTTAAAATCCTTTACATTTATACTTTTCCTTGTTAGACCGTTAACATTTCCTCTCCACCTTTTATTTGTTGAGTGCTTTGGTGGCAGTCTGTAAGGAGTTGCACTGCTAAATCAAAGGCCACAATTCTTTGGAGATTCAAATCCACTAGCAAATCTAAAGAATCAAGATAAGCAATCTCCTCCTGGTGATACACAGCCTCTGAAAACCCGCTGGGGGGATATCTATGATTTGGTTCTGATGGGACAACAATGAGCCTACGTTTTCGGTTGTAGGATATCTGGTGGTATAGTCTATAGAGAGTTGCAGTGCTAATCCAAAGGCCATGTCTCTGCTGTCAAACCAAAATGCACTAGGAAGAATGACCTGTTGATCTACTTCTGAAAAATCAGTCAATGAAAACTCAGTGGATCATTATGGTATGATTTTAAAGCATGGGAATGATGCATGGGCAACAGTTTGTTCGGCTGTGCATGATGTCAGTATTAGTAAGCAGCCACTAACAACATAATTGATTTTCAAATGTTAAATATGAAATTTATTCCAAGGACACTAAATTTGTTTACCTTTGTAAAGGAAGAAGTAATTATCTTTTACCTTTAAGTACTTTAGATAAAAAAGATAGTACTTACTAAAAGAAATAATTATTTTTTTATCTTTTCTGGAAAAAATTGTATAGAACTGATATTATTTCTTCTTTAAATACTAAATAAAATTTATCAATAAAATTAAAAAAGACAATCATGGAATAAGGCACTAGTATAAAAAAAAGAGAGCCGAGAAAACTAATAAACAGATAAAATGATGAAGGTAAAGGCAATACACAATAGAGGTTGATAAGCCATTAACATTAATTATGTGAATAAACTGTAAGTAATGTTGTAAAACAAAATATCTATGAATGAGTGTATAAAAAACCCAGTACAACTTATAAACCTTCATTCAAAAATTTTTAAAATAAGGGTTTTTTTACAAGTGAGGGAATATTTAACATATAACAAAATGCTTATAATACTATAATATGTTAAATAGAAAATAAGATTACAAAGATAATCTTATTTTCTAAAAATAAGAAAGAAAATAGAAAGTTACAGAAAGACTCTCTATGATACCCTATTTTGGTTAAAATACCATTATTTATATATGTCATTATTGACCAAGAGTGATGCTAGTACAAAGGGTGTTAACTGTGGATATAAGCAAGATGAAGCTATAGATAGTTTCAATCTCCTCTCCATCCATCATGACTCTGCCTATCGATCTATAGGTTAAGAATCCTTTTCTTGACATACTGAAGGCTATATTGCTTGATCTTCTGCAACAAGAGATTCAAGTCCTCCTCACTTTCGTCAAGCAAGGCTGTGTCACTTGCATTACACAGGTTATTGATGAGTCTTCTCCCTCTAATCCTGATGCCACACTCTTTTTCACAAGAGTTCATCTAAGATAATTTGTCTAGCATACAGACTGGAATGTGCAGAGAGTTGGAACTGGAGAACAAAAAGGGAAGAACTCGCTCTGCATGTCTCAAACTGAGAGTACTGAAAAACAAATTTAAGCCTTATGTCACAATATTGAAAGATGCTATGGGCAAATATACTGAAAGACTCAGAAAGCATCAAAAGATGATAGAGGGAATACACAGCATCACTGTACCAGAAAGAATTGGTTGACACTAAAATATTTCAGGAAGTACCATACAAACATGAGCCAATGGTAATGAAGGTGGAGTAGAAGTTGCATTGAAGGCATTGGCAAAAAAAAGAGGCTCCAGGAATCGATGTAATACCAAAGGATTTATTTCAATTAACAGATGCAGTCTTCAATGAGCTCACCAGTCCATGCAATGAAGTTTGGAGGACAGCTGTCTAGCCAAAGCATCAGAAGAGGTCCACATTTGTTCCCATTCCCAAGAAAGATGATCCAAAAGAATGTGGAAATTACAAACAGTATCATTAATATCACATGCAAGCAAAATACTACTGAAGATTATTAAAAAACAGCTGGGACAATACATAGATATGTAAGTTCCAGAAGTTCAAAAAGGATTTAGAAGAGACCATGGCACCAGGGATATCAATGTGTTGTCGGATGGATCCTGGCTGAAAGAAAGGAAGACCAGAAAAATGTCTCTTTGTGCTTTATTGACTGTACAAAGGCCTGTGACTGTGTGGATCATAATAGGATGTGGCTGATATTGAGAAGAATGGGAATCCCAGAGCACTTAGTTGCGCTCATGTGGAACCTATACCTGGACCAGGAGGGTGTTGTGTGAACACAGCAGGGGAACACCGCATGGTTTAAAATTGAGAAGGAAGTGTGTCAGGATTATATTCTCTCTTCGTACCTATTCAATCTATAAACTGTGTGTATACATATGTAAGTGTATCTACATCTATATAGGTCCATCAAAATAATGCAATTATTTATTATTTGTACCAGTATACAATAGAGCTCTCTAAAGTGCTTAAGTGCAAGGATGTCAGTTGGAGACAAAGATGTGCCTGATACATGCCAAGGTCTTTGCAATCACTTGCTATGCACTGGAGAGCTGGACAATGACTAGGGATGATAGAAGGAGAATTGATGCCTTTTAGCTGTGGTGCTGGAGAAGAGTAATGAACATACCATGGACTGCTAGGAAAACGAACAGGTTTGTCCTGGAGAGGATGAAGCTGGGCTGCTCCTTGCAGGTAAGGATTCTGAAGCTTTGTTTGACATACTTTGGACATGTTGCAAGGAGGGATCAGTCCTTAGAGAGGAACATCATGCTTGGGAGGGTGGAGGGACAGCACAAGTGAGGAAGAACCTCAATGAGATGAATTGATTCAGTGACTGGGGTAATA